GGGGGGGGGGGTTTGAATTGAATGATCAATTATTAGACCCGGACGTCCCAACACTTGCTTCGCAAGACAAACTCAAGGTATCCCCTAAAGGGCTACCTTTCGTGATGATTTGGCAATGTTTTTGATGTGTTCTGAAACTCCTTCCCTAGCACAGATGTCATGTATTCACAGCAAGCTTCTTGCATGGAAACGCATTGATTTAGCAATGATGTTAACCTCCTTATGGTCTCTTAGCATCTCTTTGGACGGGGCACTTTACACTTTACTTAACCAAACGCGACATCGCCACGACTTCCAAACATTCAAACCCCCAATGGAAACGCTTCACAAAATAGAAAATTGCCACGACTTCAACATTTGATTGTAGCAGCCCAAAGTACAAAAGTGGGCAGAGAAAAGTGTGAGCAAGTGCAGAAAGCCTTGTCGATAACATGTAACATGCATACAGGAACAGCATCAAAAGCAAGGAGGGGAAACGAGTGTTTGAAGAAAGGGAAAAGTTGAGACACGTAGGCAACCTAAAGGAAAGTAACTAGAGGTAGATCACCGGTTACAGAAGAGTTGAAACCGGTAAAATAGAATGATGTGTCAAGGAAGGTACGAAACCAAATAAAGTAGCCAAGCTTCCCCTGCAGCGAACACATGTAATCTCACCAGCCTTTCAAAGGACCACTTTACCAGCGGCCAAAAGAACCAGTAAGGCTCAGTAAGGCGTGTCAGATCACTAGCGAAAACGTAGTACTTCACCATCGCGAGGAAGGACCCATCAACAAATTTTGCTGCAAGAAGGCAAGAACCTAGAATTTATCGTTGGTGAGAACCTACTGAATTCAAAATGAAACCCATCAGTCTACATCATCAAAGGTACAAATGGAAAACTACAGCAAAAGACTACTACGTCATCACCGTCAAACTGCAACCCTAACCGCGGTCAAGAACCTACTATCTACCACCTGAAAAATGCGGAACCACTTCAATGACAGTCTTGAAAAATCAACTACTGAACAAAAAACTAGGAATAGGAAATCCCGTAGGTCCGTAACAGGTGCCCAAGCTAGTAAACACATGCAGAACTAATTGAGAGGAACTCACCTCAAGAAGAAAAACATACATCACATCCAACAACACTGGTATGTTTTGATTGCCCATGCTTGCCCTTTGTTTTCTTCTTAGAAGTTTCTGCCCTCACATCTACAAAAATCCAGAAACTATATAACAATTTACAGGTTTGTCTGTAAAAGTAACAGACAAGCCTTTTTCAATCATCATGTTTCCGTCGCATCCGGACCAAATGTCCTTTGTAAACATGAGATTCAGCACCCTGGATTTGCTGATTATGTGGCACCATTTCGTGACCTCCGAACGTGTAGAGGCAGCCCTCCAGATTGCCATCACAGAAGAGTGTGTTTTTGAAAGTGATCCTCAAAGAACATTGTTCGCAAATCAATCAAACGCAAGCTCATGATCCAGCAAACAAAAACCATACAAAAATGAACACTTGGCTGGAATAAAACCAAAATGCCAGCACCACCCCAACGGGGTTGAAGTAGCGCAAGATCGATATCTTGGCTCAAAAGCGATTGAATTGTATGCTCTGTATCAGAATCAAAATTGCGGTGTAAATTGTCAGGCAGAGTTGGTTGCAACGATCCAACTGCGCGTTTGCATCAATGCCTAGGCACGTTGGTTTCCTTACACGTCCATCCAAAACTTTGTTCCGTTTAATCACATATGTCTGACTTCGGAAAATTTCCCGATCGCCAAGATGCCGAGAACGTTGGGTTGGCTACTGCAAAACCAGACAAGATCTGGCACAAATACGGGCGGGACGCACATGAAGCCTATCTAGCATGTTTTGGCACACTAGTGGTTCGTCTTTTGATTGGATAGGACAAGAAATGAAAAACACATATACAAATTCTTCGGGCTGCTCTGCACCTGCTCAATCATAAACTTTGTCCAGCCATACGGATTTGTGCCTTGGCGTGATGGAAAACATGACAACCGTGTTGCTGATGACACGAATCACCTGTTGAACTTTGCCAGAAATTGCTAAGACATCCTTCATTTGAGCCTTTGGCACCCCAAGTCCTTGGACTCGTCAATGGGCTCCTCACATGGCCTCAACGCAAGTTCCATTGGGCGCTGTTTCCAAAACACTGTTGTGATATTCTCTGCGAACCCAATTCACAGTAGCGATAAACACATGAGGGCTGCGTCAAACACAAGCCTAATGAAATGCTTTCTACTTCCCCAACCCCATTTTCCTGTATCCTTTGACATCCTCACCTCCGGCTGGCGTCCGGCGACAAAAACATACCCACTTGACAAAAATCAGTTGCATTGCTGTTTTTTTCGGTAGATCCAATATGGGGATCTCATGAGCAGCGGCCGCTTTCGTCCGCATGCGCCCGCCCGCTACCCGCAGAGCCGCTGGCTCCCGGCCCTCCATGAGCGCTTTGGCTCTGGAGCTCTTCAGAAAGAATTCGCCTAGCCAGTGCACACTAGGCTTAAGCCACATGGCTTCGTGCATTGGGGATGGCATCCCCACGAATACAGCACTTTGACGCACAGCACTTGCAGCCGAGCTGGCTTCTTGCTTCAGTTTTGCACCTGGATTGCTTGGTGTCATTCCCTCAACCAACCCTGCATAAAAAGCATGGTGTGGAGGGCTTGGGCTGTTGTTAGTGTTTCCCTCGGCCTTGGGAATCTTAGGCTTGGCCTGCAGTGTCTGCCCGCTGTTGTTATCCGACCAGACGTCCGCGCTGCATGGCTCTAGAAAACATATTGCTTGAGTTGTTGGCAACCACGTCAGGGCGGCCCAAGGGCCACAGGAAGTTGCGACTCTTGTAGGCAACGATCGCAGCACTGGTCTTTGACTCAAAGAAGAGTTGGCGCTTGAGGAGGATGTGCCGATGCACCTGTAGCCTCGTCGAAGCAATGAGAGCTGTCAAGGACCAGGGACGGCGCGCGCATTGACATTGGGCACGCGGAGCTGAGCCAAGATGTGAGCATTGCTGGTGCCCCACTCCATGAGCAGTGGTCCTTGCTCAGCTGCCATGGCTTGATTCAAAGCACTGGTGGCCAGCTGCTGCAGAGCCTGTAAGCTTGCAGCCGCTGCGGCCGTCGCATTGGCTCAGCATGGAGAAAGGGCTCGGCGCTTGCTGCGGAGCACCGCCAGGTAGAAACTGAGACTGCTACGTAGGCATCTGCAGCGACGCTCGTGATGGGCGTTGTCGATCTGGTCGAAATGTGAGCCTCGCTTCGCCTGAGTGGCTTTCAACAGGTGGTGGCATCCTCTGCGAGGCACTAACTGAAGGTCGCCACTGGGCCAAAGGTCCTAACCCTTCTTGGAAGTCTTTCTTTAAAAGAGTCCATGCTCGGCCTACCATTGAGAAGTAGGATGCTGGGAACAACCGCAAGAGCATGGCTCTATCTTACATGCGCTGTACACAGTTCGTAAGGTCTAAGCCCATACAAACAATAGGAACAGAATCATTGATCTTCAGGCCTGTTCTCTACTTCATCACAGAAGCCTTTCTTGAAGGAGGTCTGGAGGACAAAACAAACTGAGAGTCCTACCTGTAAACCGTTGCAGAAGAAGAGAATACCAAACGCCTGCGAGAAATGGGATGCTCTCAGCATTACAGCAGCGGCACGCTGCCATCATTTGGTTTATGCCGTTGCATTTGAGGCATTCAGCGCAAAACACATGTTCTTTTTTCTAGCTCCTCAGCGTCAACGTATAACTGCCTCTAATGGTCGCCCCGAAGTGCAAAGAAACAAAGAATGTGCTTGCTCAAAATCCAAATCAGTTCGATGGCATGACTATTTCTTCAATGGTGTTGAAATACATCAAACATCATGCATACCCTCAGCAAAACCACGCGTGCTAAAGTACACCACAATGTCTGATGCAAGAAATTGGAACCAAGCAATGAAACTTTTGGTCTGTAGGATCAAGCAAGCCATCATTCCAGCACATCACCCAGAGCTGATAAGAGTGATCGCAGGTGCCGCCGCTTCTCCTGTGCCATGGCAACATCGTACACTTGAGAGGTGCGAGTTTGTTAGAATTGGACTTCTCAGACTTCTCATGAAATGTTTGCTGATCTCAAACTATCTAAAATGCATTGTCTCCTTCTGATCCTCTAAGTTCTTCCAATCACTTTCCCTGACAGTGGCCACGCGCAGGCCGTTCTTTTGCAAGATCCGTCGCCTGGCCAAGAACAAACATAGACAAAAGCCATTTGTATATTTGCATTGCTATTTTGAACGAAACCCTCCACTCACATTTTGGCGACAGCGTTGAGCCAAGCACAGTGTTCGTGCAAGTTGTTCGATATCATCCAAGCTTGGCACGACTGGCCAACGGTTGTTCCCTGTCTCTATACTTCAGTGAAACATCTCGATACAGGGTCAACTCCAGTGTGATCTTGATCAAGCCAATCGAGAGTGCTGCTTGCTAAATTGGCAATCTTCACAGCTCCATGTCATTGGCTTCAATCTTTGGGTTATCCTTCTCTGAAAGTCTCTCTCGCTCTTTCAGTAAGCCAAGCACAGCTTTGACTTCCGTCCAGTCACCTTGTGCAACTTGTGCCTCAAGTTCTTTCAGTTCTTCCAGGGTTGCTTGTGTTTGTATATCTGCGACAGCTCGAAAGGCCTGCCACATGTAGCACAAGGTGTCGTGACGCCGCACCCGCTCACTGAAGCGCTGAAAACTCTTCTCGGCGATCGATTCAGCAACATCTTGATTTTCGTTGAGCCATTGAACTTTCTCAATAAGGTCAGACAGCCCAGGACTGATTGGGACGTAGTGTTGCCATGGCACAAGCCATTCCATTACGAGCTCACTATCTGAGCTTTCTTGAAGGAGCAGAACAGATTTGGTGGCCAGCAAATCTACAAGCCTCCAGGAGGAAAGCACGGCACCCACATTTATCAAGTATCGATATCGCGGCATCTCTCGAGTAAGGTTTCTGCGCTTCACTGTCCCGCCCAGACTCTCCATTAAGTCTTTGATGTTCGATACACCAGCAACTTTGTAGATCTCTCTATCCTACAAGCGGAATCAAAAAATCTCGGAACGGTTTAGGCTCCTAAACAGCAACTAAAACTATGTCTATTCAATATGTATATATGCATATTACAAGTGCTTTGCTCTTTATACTTTGTGCTTGTTCTGCTTTGCAGCATTTGCCTCAAGATCTAGGAACCACTTCGACACGGACAGGACTTCTGTCTTACTAGCTTATATTTACCGTAGCTGCCGTAGCTACCTTACCTCCGCCTTTCAGTACAACCCACCCAAAAGCAAAAACAAACAATTCGTGGACCGAGACTCTATGTTGGTGATCCCAACATCGAAGAGATCGGGGTGCTCTCTCGCCAACTTCAAGAGCCGTACCCGCGGTAAGCTGGACATGTCGTCATGTGCAAAGTTGTCCGGAGCTGAGAGGGAGCCTCTCCAGAAGATTTTGGGAATCTTTTGAGGCCAATGCACATGTTGCTTTGTGTGTCTAGATGAATCACCCAAGAGATTCCTGGCATAAGCCTTGAGATGAAAGGGGTTTGGCAATGGCACTGTCCAGTGACCAAAGCTCCGGACCCAGTGGAATTGCGGAATTGGGCTCCAGTAAGCTTTGTCTGTGAAGGGCTGGTCACCTGTATTGAAGAGGAAAACCATGTTGGGCAGCTCTGCTTGGGCATCTTGTACCAATTCAGCAACCAAGCTTAGAAGCAAATCGACCTCAGTCAATCCCTGTAGAAGTGACGAGGCCTCACATTCGAAGGAGCAGCATCTGTAGTAAACCCGCTTCTTCAAAATGAGCCCTATGAAAGCGTGGCTGGCAGCAGCATGACGTATTCGAGTACAGATTTGAAGCAGCGAGGTCCACCGCAGCTGGTGGTCCCACCAGTGCTCAAGTGACTCCTCCAGCACCTTCTCATGTGCTGCACAGCCAAGATCGCAGGCTAGGTGCTGGCCAAGGCCTGCAGTGCAACACAACCTTGAAGAACCCTAGCATGGTCGATTTGGTTCCTAATTACATTGTTTAGGGAAACTTAACTTGCTTAAGTTTCTGGATGCAGTCTTGGTGCCTTCGCTGCACTGCGACAAAATAGCTGAGAGGTTGCGATATGGGCTTTTGAATCCATGTCCGGAAATGACCAATAAAAAGAGACTGCGCATGCAGCCTCAATCACGGAAGCAATGCCGGGGAAATCCGAAAAACAGCGGGTCCCTCCGGATGATTCAATGATATGATCAATCTAGATGTCAATTTTCAATCCACACCTCCTTCAACCCCGACCCAACAGCTCGATTTGAGAAAAGGAAGTGAAGGAGCAGGGACCGAGAGTGAAAATGTCACGCTTGAGCCAGAGTGTCAATACGCAAGATTGCAAGAGTACATGAGTTGTTGCAAAGGTACATTCCCAATACGTACACCTTGGATAATCCTTTAGGCAACCTGTTCAGAATACAACAATCTGCTCAAGCTCCGCCTGAACGCCACAGCACCGTCAACCAGTGGGCCTGCCGTCTCATCCTGGAAAACAAGGAAGCAACGAAATGCAAAGAAGCTCTTTGCACACAAAGCCCCGGCCCAACAGCCTGTGCTTTGCCGGCAGACAACCGTCCTGGTCGATTGGGCGGATTAGAGACAGAGCTCCATCAATGTCAATATGCACGTAGCCTGAACTGGCAAGAGATGGTTTGAACTCGCTCCCCTGTCAACCATCCCAGAGTATTGTGTTTCCATGTGCTCCGTATGTTAGACGAGCCGTGGTCTAAGCGCCCGAGAACCCTACCATCAGTAGATGAGCGCTTTCTCATTGCCGCCACATCCTGTGGATGCATAGCTCAAGGCTTGGATTTTTTGTGTTACAGTATCACACATAAGAACGAGCAAGACTTGGCAAACAGTCTAGTCTACTAGTCTGAGTCACAGTGTTCCAACAAGGCCGAGGCAACAAAATGTCAACTTCCTTTCCAGTATATATATATACAGTATATACAGTATATATAGTATGTTCCAGAATGGCGTTCTTAATTGCCAGGCTGTTCCAACCACCCAAAGGTAAGGGGCTGGCGGAAAGCAAGCCAACGCTGGTGCGATGGTTTGACTGAACCTCACAGTAGCTGAAGTATAAGTTAAGACATTGTGTGCAATATTGCAGAACTTCGGCAAAAGTGCTTTAGTCATGCAGTTTCGTCTGTCCTAGAATTTGAGAATCTGGCATGACCCTCTAGGAGGCCTTTGACTGCAGCCGTAATATCACTTCGCACTTTCTCAGAACATCTTCTGCACTCGCGCCGATTTTCCTGGCAGCTGCGATCATTGATAGACATTGATAGACAATTGTAGCAGCGTTGGAGTGCGAATAAGAAACGAACTCTGAGAATGTCGATGCTTTTCCAACGCCCACCTTATAGTGCTCAAGAAGTGAACTGACAGCCTTGTCGTCTATTCGAAGAGCGGCATATCGGGCTTTGTGCTCGGCCCTTAGAACTGTTGAATTCACGCAAAGTCTGCATGGGCAACATTTGCAGGACAAATGAATTATATATATAGTTGCGAACATATCTTTTGCAATTCTTCGTGGCATGCGCAATCATTCGATGCTCTTGGGGTATGGACTCCAATGACAAATGAAGCTCATAGAGCTGGCACAGGGCATCCGCCGAGACCTTCTGCGTTTCGCGGAGCACCTGAAACATGAGCTGCAACAAGTCGTGATGGTAGGCCTCAAGAACAGCGAAGCACCAGCATAGTTCCACCAGGTCTTCACAGCGCAAGCCAGCTTGTTTAGACCATCTGCCACAAATATCATCCCCAACAGCTTGGCAAAACGCTTCATTCTTTACTCCACAACGAGACAAGGCCCTAGTGCAGCGCATGAGCTCTGCAGGGCGGAGCTCACGAACCCGAGGGGCAATCGCTTGGGCTGCGGAGGTGAAGAGATCGACGTGTACCAGACGCACTTCGGACAGAATCGTCAGAAGCGAAGCAAGCTCTTTAGGCCCAAAGGTTTTGTGCCTGGCCTCCACAGACTTGGAAAAAAACATTAAAAAACGCTCAGCGCCAGTGCGCAAACAAATTGCTTGCATTTGACTCGAAGCTCTGCATCACACCCACAGTTTGGCGTTTTCGGCAAAACATCAATGAAAGTACTAGCATTATGTTCAACGTTCATTTGCATAGCCCACGCGCCTGGGCAGACTTTCCGACTGACACAAAGAACTTGTGATCAGAGCAGCCCAGTGAGACCACGCCAGCCAAGCAGCAGTTCAGCTCGTGGGGTGCCAACTCCATCAGCCTTGTGGGCACCTTGATGGGTCTTACACTTCTGTGGTCTTGTGTTAGAGGAAGGGTGAGACCTTCACGGTTTGTCTTGGTATATAGATGTATATAGTAGATAATGTGTTCTTGCTTTGTCCTCTGTCATAGAATCACTTGTTGGGCTTGCTTAGCACTGGCAGAACAAGAAACACAACTATTGTCGGCAGTGCGCCTCCGAAGTTGCAACAGATAAGAAGTCACGGCTGCAATCGATGAAACGTTGCCTGCCCTCCGCTGACCAGTACAGGAAGGAGCTCATCGTAAGTGCCAGTTGTGGACTGGTGGCTGATTTCAGCTTATGCCCGAGCATGCTTCCCAGCTCACTATAGAAATCCTTCGGATACGATGCCGCCTTGACTTCCATAAGCCGGAGAATCTCTGCAATCTGCTCAACACTCAAGAAGGCAAACTTCTTCAAAAAGTCCCGTGAAACTTCCTCAAGTTCGGACCTGCTTGTTGCTGCCTTGACATTTTCTTGCAAAGGCTCCCATTCCGCCTCTGCAAGTCCGGAATTGCCGGAAAGCTTGTGGGAGGTGTGCTGGACAAACGGAAGTGGAACAGGTGCCGATCCAGTCGCAGAGAGTGCCTGCTTGGCCCCTTGGACATTGCCCTGCAATCGTGCCAGCATTTTCTGAACTGAGTCATTGTCTCTTTGAGCAGGCGCATTCGTCTGCAGCGTGAAGCCAGAGAATCCCATAGATTTGGGTACTGCCCTGGAATCTGGCAAAGGCACTGGAGGTGCACCTGGCAAACCACCAGCAAGGCGCTTGAGGGCCTCCAAATCATAAGCTGGAGGGCTTGGCTGTCCTGGTGGGGGAGGTGGAACTACAGGAGCGCCTGGAGCGCTTGGAAGGATTCCGGGCATTGGAGCTTGTGGGGGTGGGACAATTTGGGGGATCTGCGGTGACGGAGGAGGTGGTGCAACTGGCGCTGGGAGAACAGGAGCGGGGACAGCTGGGACAGCTTGCGCTTTGGCTTGTGCCTGGACCTGAGCCGCCTGGGCTGCTTTGGCCGCCTGGGCTGCTTGTGCTGCTTGAGCTGCTTGCGCAGCCTGTGCGGCCTGTGCCTGCGCTGCTTGCGCTGCCTGCGCTTCCTGCTGCGCTTGTGCAGCCTGTTGTTGCGCTACCACAGCTTGCACGGCGGCCGCCTCGCAAGCTCGCTTTACGATGCAGCAAAAGGGATTGAAATGTTTGAACCTCAACTTCAACAACTGTGGATGCAGTTGCCTCCTGAGCCGCCTTTTCTCTCGCAGCTCTTTCTTCTTCTTCCTTCTCCTCCACTTCAGCATTCTTCGCAGCCTCACCGGGGTTTCTTCGTAATCTGTCTGGTGAACCTTCGTGGAAAACGGACTGCACGCCTGCTCTGCAAGCTTCTTCAGAGCGTCCTTGTCGAATGCTGCTGCCTTTGGTTGTGCCTCCTAACATCAGCGCTCACTGGCACTCCACTGTCATATGCTGCCGACCTTGCTGACTCGCGCCTGCGCACCTGCTGCATTGGCATCTTCCGCACCTGCGGCAAGCATAGGAAGGAGATCAAATGACTTTATATAGACCAGAAGAAACTCCATGGGTCAAATGCTCTTGCAAATGCTCTTGTTGTGCCTCCTTTCGCAGCAACTGCTCCGTATTGGGACCACCAGCGGGCATAATACCTAGTGTGCGTACAAAGGGTTGATTTCGATCGTCACGAGAGGACAAGATGTGTCAATGCTTCGTCTTGCAGAAGCTTTCAATCTCAGCGATGGCTCACTCATTCAAATCTGTTCCTTGAAGAGCAGCAGCCTGATGACGCAGCGTTTTTGCAGTTTCATGGTCCACTGAAGCTACTCACTTTGCCTTTTGTGTCTCATAATTTATATAACTTTGCTGAACGAAAGCTGGAAAGCCAAAGCAAAGCAACTATTGAAAATTGCCAATCATGTCTTTTGCTGGTTGCTGGAAAGCTGATCTTCTTTTCGCGGAGTACTTGTTGGGTGTTATTGACATGCAGCAATCAACAACAAAAAATCGCCCCCTGCCCCTGTGAGGCCAACAAGGTAAGAGCAAGAACGGGACACCAACTGCCTTGCTTTCATAAGGTTTGGTGGCAAGCGTACGCAAGGTTACCCCTGCCTGATTTAAAACCTCCTGTACGCCAAATCTAAAGGCATTGGTATGTTTAACATAGAACATCTTGGAACTGCTATTGGTTGATTTTTTGCAAGCAAGCTATGCCTGCCTGAAAGTGTAGCACTGAATACAGAGAGTACTGCTACAAATTGTTCCGTCTCCATGAGTTATTCCTTCCTTTCTACTGCAGATCCAAGGAAAAACATAAACTGAAATGAAGCGAGATCCTTTGGTGGTGGGCGCTGCTCCTTCTGTGAATGCCTGCTTGCCATCGCTATGGACAGAACAGCAGAAGTCTCATCGAGGTCCACACGTGAGCTGCTGCACTTGTATCAAGGCCAGCCTCAGAAATCTAACTGTTGATGTTTTCTAATTGTAGAGTGATATGAGGGACGTAAACACAAAATATTATACAATATCATACCTGCATATACAAATACAATCAAATACATTATACCAGAATGCATGCATCAAAGTAGTTGCAAATCATTGTCACCGAATTTGTCAATCTTCGCAACAAACCTAAGAAAAAACAACAGCTGGGTGCTAAAATCCGCCCAGGCAATGGCACCATCGCAAGTTCACTAACAAGTGCCGTGTCTTTGTCAGACAATGCTGTCTTCAAGAGTGTGAACCTTTTCAATGTGCCACCTGAGCATACCAACTCAGCAGCACGTCGGCACAGCAAATATAATGTGCTTACATATGTACCACTACAAGCAAGAACCAGCAACCATGTTCCCAAACACGCTCTGGAGCCTGCCAGAAAGTCAGTGCGACAAACGGCATGGCAACACCTCAGCGCCTCACAGAGTGCTCCGGAACTTGCCCCGGCGCTTCCAACAGGAACCTGCTCCGGAACCTCCGGAACATCCTCTGCAACCACTTGTTCTGGCATCTGGACCTGCTCCTGAGCTTGCTCTGGAGCCTTCCCAACAACTTCCTCCGGAACTTTGCTCCAGAACCTGCTGCCTGGAATCTCCAGACCTGGTCCAGAACCTCCTGAGCAACTTGCTCGCAGACCAGCTTGAGAACCTGATCTTGCTTCAGACCTCCTCCAGAACTTGCTCCGGAACCCACTCCGAGACCTGCTCCGATCTGCTCCAAAGCCTTTAGTATGGCTGAAGATTTGTGAGTTTCGCTATTGGGGAAAAAAATAAATCATTGCATTCATCATTGCTGTATAACCTTTCACAAACACTATCTAAATTTTGGCGGCCTTCAATATTCACCTTGGCGGAGTTGCTCACTTTATATATTTCACATCTTCAAATCCTTGTGCTATTGGATTGTGCTGTTAGGGTTGTGAATTCCCTCTGCGGTTCTTTTGTGCCGTTCTTTGGCACAAACCTTTCCCCAATCCGTTCACGGTAATCCGTGACATCTGCCAAGAAGTGCGAGCATAGAAAATGTTGTGCAACACAAAAATACAACTCAAGACATTTCTCTCGCAGCATGTAACTTGACGGCTTAAAGGTTCGCGAGGAGAGAATGCTTCTTCAGAACTCTCCCGAATCACTCCCACGCGCATACTGGCCAATACTGGCTGACATCAGGTGCTCTTATAAAAACACTATGTCTACTTTGTGATGGTCCAGGACACCGAGCCAATCCAGGCAATGCTGGTTGAGCTAGGCCAAGGGCACCGGCCTAGGTCGAACAAGGACAAAATAGCTAAGACCAGGGACTCTTCTCCCAAGAATGAAACAGGTGCTGCTCAAAATTTTGAGACCCTTGAAATCGGCAGTTGTCAAGAACATGCATGGTACAAACCTCCAGGATGTCATTTGCACCATAAGCAATGCTTGGAAATCGGCGGCAAGCGGAGGGGGCGCGCCACCAGGCAGACCTGAAAGCGATCCTAGCTGACCAGTGGGAAATGAGAGCACAATGTCTCAATGAGCTTGTCTGGAGAATATTGCGCATGAGTCTAGCTAGGGTGCTCTTCATGAAAGAACGGCACAGGCTTTGCTTTGCCTTCGGGCAAAGCCCAAAGGTCCGAAGGTCTGTACCCAAGCTGAAACCACTCTTTGCGCCAGGTTTGCAATTAAACTCGCACAAAAGGCACAGGACGATCCGTTTACTGTACATCCTGGCCAACGCGATTGCAAGTTATTGAGTACCGCTTTTGTGGTGACAATGAGACCACAAGTGAATAGAACCCCAGGATCACGTGATCCACAGTGCAGACAAGGATGCTCAAGCCGGCCAAGCCAGCTCCCAGGTTGAGTGCCTTGGCAAAAAGTCCAACCTAATAGCGATGGCCTCCAACCTAATAGGAAGGAACACCGGTAAGCCGGTTCAAACTTGTGGGGAAATCCCAGCCCTTAGATTCCGGACCCCAGCAGGTGGCAGTCCCAAAGGTGCAGCAGTCGGAGCAGCCTTGGCATCACCACGTCAACTGTTGCTCAAGTAGGAGTATAGTAGGGGAAAATTGTGGATGCATGAGATGCAGGTGTATGCGAATGCTTTGCAAAAGCGTTGCACTTTCCAGCATATCTTTGCTGGTTGTGTTGTGCATGTTTATCAGATCTATGTGTCCACACCCGAAAGAACACTATTCTTGGGCTAAATGTGAAGATTTGGGCATTAAAGTTGAGGAGTGTGTGAACAAGAACGAAGGTGTTCATAGTTGGCCGTTATTTGAACATGTCTCGAACTTTGCAGCAACCTGCTGCGATTTGTCTGTCGGCCGGTGGTACTTTGTGCTACCAGTTTCATAGCCTGAATTGCTGGGATTGCAGCAATCCGATATGTGATTCAAGATGCGTGGTGATTGACTAGGCTTATGCTTACTGAAGCTTACGAATTCAAGTAGGAGTCTGCCATTATCAGAGACGGGGCGCATCGCTCATTATACCTCTCACGCAGCTTCTCAAACGAAAAGACACAACTGCTATCAACTGCTCGCATATTATGCAGCACAAGTCCTACCCTGATTTTATTCCATTGCAAAGCTGCTCGAGCCCTCTTCAATTTTTAGCTATCTTGGCCATGTAGGACGGCTTGGTTTGTCTTATGTATCGTGTCTGAGGTTTGACCGTGAATCCCAGACTGCCCCAGGCAAGGCGAGGGAAGGGGCCTGGCCAAGACTCTCCTTTACACACCTTTCTCATGAAATAATAGAAACGACGTATCGAAGAAGGGCAGTCAAAGCTCGTCCTGGGTCTGACATGAGTTGACCAAAGCTCTTGCCACGGTGTCCGCAAAACAAGCCGAGCATTCAGGTGGCATCGCTTGAGCAGCTTGAGCTGCAAGTTGCACCAAAACTTGCGGACCTTGGCGGAAACAGTGAAATGGCCGCAAATGTCTGCAAACACGACCAACCACGTGCAATCACATGGATAGTTTCTCCAACAACAAACCATGCGTTCCAAAAGAAATCAGGAAGTAGCTTAGCGAGCCGTCCACAATGCCGTTCACAACCTGAGGTTCAGCTCGCTTTCATGTGTCTTTGCAAGAAAGGAATTTGGGCAACGGAGAATGACAAAGAGCATCAAACACATCTGAACAACATCTGTACAAAGAGCAACAGCACAAAGGCCCACCAGAAGCCTTCTTGCACACGTCTACCTCTGCATGAGAGCCAATGATAGTGACCTAGGCACGGTGGTTGACACGGTTGAAAACCATTGACGGCTGTCCAAAACAAATCAACCCACCCCGGTGATTGCACCTCAAGAAAGAAAGGGCTCTAACAGTTTTAACTCGGGTTTGACTTGGTTGACTACACGTGTTTTTGCTTTTGACATGTTTCAATGACTTTAAAGGCACATATCGTGGCAATTGGAACCGGACCTTGGCCTTGTCCTCTGTTGGCGTGTGCTGCTCAACGAAGCAATGGGCCCTGAAGCAACTAACTGCCAAACAACGTTCGTCTGAAGACTCCAAAGAGTCACAGGAGCCCCGAACGTAGCTTCTTGCTCCTAGTAGCGATGCCCTTGTTTCTAATAGCTTCTTGCTACTACTAGTAAGGCACTTGTTACTAGTAGCGATGCCCTTTGCTCCTAGTAGCTTCTTGCTCCTAGTAGTAACGCACTTGTTACTAGTAGCGATGCCCTTGTTTCTAATCCGCCGACCCCACACCGTGGGGTGAGGCGTGACTGTCGATGTTAGCCTTAGCCTTAAGCCTTAGCCTTAGCCTTAGTCCTTAGCCTTAGACCTAGTCCTTAGCCTTAGACCTAGACCTAGACCTTACCTCCCCTACCCCTCCGGACCCTTGTTGCAGTGACGAAATCCCGCCCTAAAAGCGACCTGATGGTCACCTGGATTGTCCAAGATTCTGCCATCCCAATTGATTTACATCTTGGGGCACCCTCTCGACCCGCGCGGGAAAATAAGCACGGTCCAAAATGGTCCTGGGCTCGAATCCCGGGCTGGTCGCGGCATGGTCCCGGCCAATGCCCTTGCTTTTTCGTAGATTTTGTCACGTTTTCTGTTGGCTTATGAGATTTTCAAAGGCTTTTCTGGCATTTTCCTAGGAATGCTCTAGGCTTTGTCTTTTTGGGTACCTGCTTTGGTGGTGCTGGGTTGGGTCT